CCCCCCCCCGCCGCCACACCTGCTCCTCCCGGGCCTCGTAGTGCTTGAGCTGGTTCAGGAAGCGCAGGTGCTTGTTCTCCTCCTCCAGCTGAGCCACGGCCTCTGCGCTGTGCTGGAGCCGCAGCTGGGTGCCGGCCAGCTCCTCCCGCAGCCAGAGGTTCTCCTGGCCCAGGCGCCTCACCTGGGCCCGCAGCTTCTGCTTCTCCGCCTCCAGCGCCCCGATGTGGGAGGAGAGGGCGATCAGCATCTGGGGAGAGGGAGGGGCAGCTCCAGCAACCTCAGCCTTTGCACTCGGGAGATGGGGGGGGAAGAGGGGGGCTGTGGAGAACTGCAAGAGAGTAAAGCAGGGACTGGCCGCAGAGCAGCACCACAAGGAATGACGTACAGAAATACTAAGAAGAATGAAGATAATGGGAAAACGGGAAGAAAGGGGGAAGAGAAAAAAGGTGAGGGCAAAGGGGAAACGGAAAAAAAGGCATTGACTTCCGGCCCCTTTGGGCACAACAGAATAAGTTGATAACATTAGTTCTATATTTTGATAAACTACTTTTATTGAAGTTTTATTTTTTGACAAAATATTTTTACGTATTGTTTTTTGATAGATTTTATATGTTCTATTGCTTCTGTTTGCATTATATTGAATTCCAATATATTGGGTCAACTTATTTTCCAATGCCCCAGAAGGCAAGGCAAGAAACAACAGATGGAAACAAGGAGAGAAGCAACCTGGAATTAAAGAGAAACTTCCTAACAGCGGTGGACAGTTAACCGGTGGAACAGAAGTTGCCTTCAGAAGTTGTGGGTGCTTCATCACTGGAGGTTTTTAAGAAGAGACCGGACAGCCACTTCTCTGAAATGGTAGAGGGTCTTGTTCTTGAGCAGGGGGCTGGACTAGAAGACCTCCAAGTTCCCTTTCTACTCTCTCCTCTCTCCTCTCTCCTCTCCTCTCCTTTACTCTCTACTCATAAATAACTTGAAAGTACCTGACACACCCCAGGGAAGGCCAAGACAAATGGACGTGCTTGACCTTTCCAGTTGAAGCTGGCTGCCAGGGTGGCCCCTGCTAGCATCACATGCCAGGCTTGTGCAAAGACCCCCCTGGACTTCCCTCCCCAAGGGCTCCTGGAGCTTCCTTGTGCTCCATGACGCCATAGGTGGCCGAGCAGCCCCCTGGCTACCTCCCTCCGGGCTCCTGGTGTACCTGGCCTTCGGCAATGCCCAACTCTATGCCTTCCAGGCTCCTGCAGATGAGGTCCTGCTTCTCCTCCAGCAGCTCCAGGGCCTGGGCATCCGCGGCTGCCAGGGGGTCCTCCCTCTCGTCCATCAGCTGCCGCTCCTTCAGCAGAGCCTCCTGCAGGTGGAGGTGGATGCTGCGGTTCTCGCTGCGCAGGGCTTCCAGCCCCTTCATCACCTGGCGTGTCTGGAGGATGATGTCATCGCCCGTCATCTTCTCCGATTGGGTGTCATTCAGGCCCACCATGATGGACATGATGGGCCACGTTGGTTCTAAAGAAGGAGGGCGCCGAGCTCCTGGGGTCTCCTGGGGGTCTCCTAGAAGGCAAAGGAGGAGCCTCTCTGGCAGTTGCGTCTCAAGGATGGGGGGGGTGTCCTCCCATCCAGGGGTCTCCAAACTTGGCAACTTTAAGACTTGTGGACTTCAATTCTCCTTGCACTAGCTGGGGAATTCTGAGAGTTGAAGTCTTAAAGTTGCGAAGGTTGGTGTCCCCTGCTCTAATCCTAGACACAAAGGTTATCCAAGCCCTCTGCACACTCTCAGAGGTATTCCAGATCTGCAAACCCTGATCTTTTTTTCACCCAGGATCTATTAATCAGAAGGAACATCAGCCAGAGAAGTTGATGGGGAGAACTATCAGGATTTTTATTCAACCAGAGCAGAAGGCACCATTTGTAAATGTGATATTTCTGGCCTCCGGTAAAAGGCTGCCCTCCATGTTGGGAATGCAAGAGCCCTTCCACCACAGCCAGGTGGGGCCGGGAGGCCGCCCCGCCTGGCCCAGGCCTTTGGGAATGCTGCCTGCTGGATCCACAGCTGAATCCCAAACCAGTCTCTCCAGCTGGATGCCACCACCAGAAAGCAGGCAGCAACACGCTCCTCGGCCAAGCCCGTCTGCAGCCACACACATGCCTGAGGAAGGAAGAATCCTCGCCCGCCTCCCTTCGCCAGACAGGCTGGGTCTCCTCTGGCTGGGATCCAGGTTCCCAGGCCTGGCCATGCGAAGGGTGCCAGCAGCCCATCAGGCAGCAGGGCTTCCCGAGGCTGTCCTGCACCCGGACTGGCTGCTCGGCCACTTCATAGACCCCAAGCAAGAGACCTCAGCGCTGCCCACTTCCTTCTGCTGAACGTGGGCTTGGCTGGTGCACCATCTGGCACTGGTGGCCGAGCCGTGGAGCTGCCGAGCCGTGGGTCCGACCCCCTTTCTATGTCTCTCCGTCAGGTGCCCATTAATCCAATCTGGGCAGGAATACTGCCCATATTCACTGGTCAGCTCTGCTGCTTACAGAAGCCCCTGCTTGGCCCTCATTTCACACTCCCATCGAGCTGCTGCCCTAGACAGGCTGGGTTCTGACAGCACTCGAAATAGGAAATAGCACGTAGACTTATATACCGCTTCACAGGGCTTCACTGCCCTCTCTAAGTGGTTTACAGAGTCAATACACAGCCACAAGAAAGCAAAATTTACCCCTGCATTATTTTAGATCCCGCCATCATGTTCTCTCCAGCTTGCCCTCAATTTGCTTTCTTGCAAGATTTTTAGAAAGAAAAATATATACGTATTTTGGAGGTCTGGCAGAGCTGTGCACGGTGCTCCAGGAGAAGCCCGTGGTTGGTAGAAGGCCATTTCTCTCAGGCCGCCTCTGCCGAGCGGCACATCGGTTACCTCCAACCGAGGCACTCTTCCCATCTCTGCAGCCATCCGGGCAAGGATGCTGGTTTGTGGATGCTTTCCAGAAGCCCCCCCCATCTGGAAACAGCTGCAGGGCTGGCCCAGAGCAGAGGCTGGACATCCCTCCCCCCCAGCCTCTCTCTGAGAACAAGGTCTGGTATAAAAACTCCTTCAAGGGGGGTGGTCTTGGGGGCTCTCTGAGCTTGGCTGTTTTCTTGTAGACGTTTCACGACCCAACTAGGGAACATCTTCAGTGCTAATGTGATAATGAAACTCGTTCAAGAAAAAAGCAGAGAGCCCCCAGGACCCCTCATCAGTTCATCAGGAAGCTACAAATATTCTCTTCTTCAGCTGCTGCCACAACCCGTGGATTTCCATTCACAAGTCTGGAAGCGGCTCCTAACCGGGGCCCTGTTTAAAAGCCAGTGAAAAGATAAACTTCGCTGCAATCCTCTTCCGTTGCCCAGGGAATATTTTGCACGAAGCTCCCGTTTCCCCCTGGCAGGTCCCGCTCTTGGCTGCGGCTGG